TATCTTTTCCTCTCTGGAAAATGGAACTTTGGTGTTGAAAAGAGGAATGCATATCTGTGAAAGATCAGCTTTGAAATGTTAATAATTAATGCAGCATTTTAATATTTTCTACAGTGATGAAATAAATATGGATAAATATGGATGTTTTTCTGCTTGCTCTATTTCTTGTTAGCACATTCAACCAGTTACTGTTGGGTTCATCATCTTCAGAGGTTCTGACCAGTTCTGGAGAACTGGTAGCGGAAATTTTGAGTAGTTAGGAGAACCGGCAAATACCACCTCTGACTGGCCCCACCCCCATCTATGATCAGCTGGGTCTTCTTTTGTTGCCCTGCACAGGAGAACGGAGCTGAAAAGCAGGTTAGTGGAGTGGGGAGGGTATAGGGATTTTGCAGTAACCTTCCCCAGGAGTGGGGAGGGAACTGAGATTTTACAGTATCCTTCCCCTGCCACGCCCACCAAGCCACGCCCACAGAACTGGTAGTAAAAAAAATTTGAATCCCACCAGTGATCATGTTGCTATTAACGGAGCTTGAATGTACAGGTAGTCCTCGATTTACAATACAATTGAGCTCAAAATTTCAGTTGCCAAGCAAGATAGTTGTTAGGTTTTGCCCCATTTTACTTTCATTGCCACCATCGTTAAGTGAATCACTGCAGTTTTTAAGTTAGTAACACAGTTGTTAAGTGAATCTGGCTTCCCCAGTGACTTGCCTTGTCAGAAGGCCACAAAAGATGATCAGATGACTGCAACCGTGATGATCCCATGATGGCTGTACACTGCAACCATCATAAATATGAATCTATTTCCAAGCATCTGAATTTTGATCACATGACCATGGGGATATGGCAACAATCATAAATGTGAAAAACAATCCTGAGTCACTTTTTCCAGTGCCATTGTAACTTTGGTCACTAAATGAGCTGTTGCAAGTTGAGGATTGCCTTTATTTTGCTTCTTAAAATGTTTTAGAATGCAGTCTCATTCCCATAAAATAAATACAAATCAGATGAATATTAGTATTATATTTGTTTTTTTAAACATCAAAGTTTATTTTAAATCTAGGGAATCAGAAAATCAGAATCAAAAGTATTTAGATATATAAATATACAATTAATTGATAGATATTTCCTATTTTAGCAACAAATAAGTATGATTATATTTCTGTGTAATGTACTGTTATTTTGGACACGAGTAGTTATGAATAAGGTTCCTAAGCATTGTCAGGTTGTGTAGTACATCAGGTTTCTGCTGTAAAAATGTTCCTGTTTAATCATTATTCACACATTTCTCACATTATATAATCTATCCATGAAAGTGAAAAATAAATAGGGCCAGGATAACAGTAACAAGTTAACCTATTTGACAAAACAACTGTTTATGTCAGTAGGTCACCATGACCTAGTGTTACCTTAGGAAAGGTCACACTCTCTTTGCAATATTTGAATCACCGTCTATACCTGTATTGAATTGTTCAGTGTAGACCAGCCACTTAACTACAGTGGTGTGCAAGAAGTGAACCTTGTATGAGAGCAAGATGCCAACTCTGTTTCTATACTTAATTTGGCAACACTCTGAGTAGCAAAGGTTTAAACACTTCATCTTCCATTATTAGCAATGTTCTACTGTATATTATATAGCAAAACTAATCTCTGTAAATAAATAAGTGAACATATTGTAGATCTCAGACCAGATATGGCAACATGTGGCAGAAACTTTAACTCCCCACAACATCATATTTTATGGTGGCATAAAGAATAGACTAGAATATATAAAGAAATTCACTACTACAAATAGGAAACATTTCTTACCACACTTATATGCTGATCGTTTACTAGGGTCAAATTTCTTAAGTGTTCATGATTAATGGTTTGTGTGTGGTGGTCATAATTCTTTCAGAAGATGGGATACGCTATACTGCAACCCTAATTTATGCTTCAAACCTGAATGATTTCAGTCAAGACCCAAGAGTAGACTTCTTTGGCTCTGACACTAGTCTATAGTTAAAAATTGTAACTAATATTTTAATATTAATAAAAGTACAACCTTCTACAATGTTGCATATGTATGTATGCATGTGGAAATGTTTACATACATACTGTATGTGTATGTATGTAAATGTTTACACACACATACACACCATAGTGTAAAAGTAAATTTGTATTTATTAATGTTAAAATTAATTAGAGTAAATCATTTCACCTTTGAGACCAGGGGGGTGTACCCGTGGCAACTTTTAAGACTTGTGGACTTCAAGATGGCTGGCTGCGGAACTCTGGGAGTTGAAGTCCACAAGTCTTAAAATTGTCAAGCTAGGACATCCCTGTTTTAGCCTATCTAACGAAATACTTACAATTAGCAAGGAGAGGACAAGAAAAATTCATAGGAAGGGTACAGGACAGATGTTATTTATGCTACATTTTTTCTGGTAAAGTATTTGGAATATTTTCTTGTTCATTATACTTGCCACATTAAAGCAAAGCACTTTTCTAAAAATATCTGTATAGAATAATCAACTCCATCTTGAAGATTTAAACTGGTGCTGTTTGTAGGCTGTTTCAGTATGATTGAAGAATTGCATATTTTATGACAAAAATACTTAGAAGGACAGTTAAAGGAATCAGTTTAAATAATATATACTTTGAGGCAAAGCATATTATCAGAGGATTTCTGAAGCCTCCAATAATAATTGGCCTCAATTGCTGTACCCAAAGCAAAAATAGCTTAATTAATAGGAATACCACTTATCTCAGAATGCTGCCAATTACAGCTTCTTTCTATTGAAATGGAATCTTAAGAATCCAGTGCTAATATGAATAAAGGTTCCAGTTGAATCCATATATATCAAATCATTATGTGAAAATTAACACAAAATTTGCTGTATATCTTAGGCTGGCCCAAAAAGGATTAGACTTTTAGAAATCAACCTATGTAAATACAGTATATTTTCTGGCTTTAATAGATAATTATAGTGGATAGCTACTTTTTTTTGTTATTGAGTTCTGAATTGCAAGGTCATTCTATTTCATTCTAATTCTATTTTCAGGGATGTTATTACAGCACTTACCTTTCATGAAAGAATAGTAATATTTTTTCCCTTCCATTCAATTTTGTCCAATTCTTGGGATCTATTCAGACAAAGCTCTGAAATTTTCTTGGCAAAAGTTTTCACAAGTGGTTTGCCATTGCCTCCTTCCAAGGGTTGAGAGAAAGTGATTGGTCCAAGGTCACCCTGCTGGGTCCATGCCCAAGCAGGACAAGAATTCCTGGTCTCCTGGTTTCTAGCCTGATAACTTAATCATTATACCAAGCTGGCTGTCAGTAGTAATAATAATGGGCCACAAAATACATTTTCTCAACTTGAACATTTGAAGATTTATAATGTATTTTTTCCTAATTGTTCAAAGACTGATTTGATTTGTGATTACAACAAAAAATATAAATAGTATAATGCTATTGTGTAACCTGTATCCAAACCTGAGGATGACTATGTATGCATGCACTGTTAAAAATTCCTTATACTTCAAAGAAATTGTCTTTGATTAAAAATCAGTGTTTTAAAGATGATTGTATTATCCATAAACATCCAATTGTTTTAATATCGGTATGAAGCAATTTGAAATGAGTTATGTCTATATGAGACTAATGCATTAAAATTCTTATTTGCTATAAGAGGCCTAAACGTATCAAAACAGAACACTTGAGATGGAAAAGACAATGTAACTAAACTATCAGATGCTGCCCAGAAGAGTGGTAGCCTTTTCACAGTATTTGAAATATTTTATAGACAAGCAACAATAGTTGAATATACATGCTTATCCCCTGTGATTCTTCACAATATTTAAACTAGATTAATATCTCTAGAAGTGCCTTAATGCTGAAATTTCTTAATTTGCTTCTAAATTCTCATTCAGTTCTGTGAATCTGGCAGAAGACACCCAGCTTATTAGTATCTATAAGGCAGGCTAACCTACATTGCCTTACAAATGTTTACCATACTATTTAAGATTTAATATCTTCTTTATCTTTATGGAGGCCCCCCAATATAATTCATATTGAAATAAAGTGCTTTGTGCAAAGACCTCTATAAAGACTTTTATAATATACTGCTTTTTACCCAGACTTCAGTATATTAGAGCACAAGCACAAAGACCAGTGTGGAATGGAACAACTTATATGCAGTAGAGCCTTGAAAAGATGTTATTATTTTTAATTTAGTACTTTAAAATGAAACTGTCAAATTTGAATATTTTCAAGGTAAAACATAAGCGTATAGAACATATCCTTCTTGGAGTGATGCACTTTTTTTAAAAAAAATTCTCTGCTGTAACAGGACTATCAGGATATCAAGACCCTTTTTTTAACTAAAAAAAATCCTTATATGAATCAGGTACACTAAATGGTTTACATCTTAGAACTATTGAAATTTGTTTTAATGAAGGTTATTTTTAAAACTACCCCTCCACTTCACACACAAGCAAGGCTGATACCTTATACCAGGGGTGTCAAATTGGTGGCCTTGGGATGGGCGTGTTACGCACAGGCCATGCCCACCCCAGCTATGCAAAAAAATGTTGTGAAACATCATGTGATGGCAATGTGATGCCGTGAGTCTGACACCCATGCCTTATACACAGCTTGTTGACTAACCACTATGGTAAGTGCACAAAACATAAAGCACCTTGGATGCACAATTATCATCTTCCCTAGTGAAACTGATCAAATGATCAGGATCATGGGGTAATAGTCCTCAGCTGACACCACCATTTGTTTGTAGCTATAACGGTAGTGAAAAAAAGCAACTTACAACCTGTCCTCTCACTTATGACTATTGCACCATCCTCATGGTCACATAATTAAAATCTGGCACTTGGCATGTATTTACAATGGTTGCGGTGTCCCAGGGTGATGTGATTGTCATTTGCAAACTTTCCAGCGTCTGACAAATGAATATAAGCTTAATGGCCACATTATTCAGTGATTTGCTTAATTCTGCAGTGATTTGCTTAACTGTGGCAAAAAAGGTTGAGAAATCAGGTGCAACTTACTTAACCACCATCTTGCTTAGCAGTGAAAATTTTGGTCCAACTTGTGCTCATAAGTTGAAGATTATCTGTATTGCAGGTGATTTGGACTGCCTTAACTTAAGAAAGGCTATTGAGCCCTGGATAAGCATATCTAAAATATTATATTTCAAAACTTAGAGAGTGTTTACAGCATGGTGAATCAAACATATTCCTACATGGACTTTTTCCCCCTAGAAAATAATTCTCCAAAATACTCTTGAGCTTTTTTTTTTTTTTTTTGGGGGGGGGGGGGAGACAATTTTCCTTTTATTATACAACAAAAGGCAACCTTCCCATTACTGCATATTTTATGCGAAGTGTTTTGATGGGGAAGTTGTATTCTGAACAGTGAGGCATGAGCAATAATGGAGGAATAATCAGGAAAAACTAGCAAGCACGTTGCTGGTGGTTTAGTACCTCAATTCATTTCTGGTGCTAGAACAGATAAGATCCATATTATATCTTATGGGAGCAGTACTACGCATCATTTAAAATAAGTTTTTTTTAACCAATTCACCATTTGGATCATTAAAAAAAGGTGTCTTATATGACATGTTTAGACCAGAAAAAATAAAGTTGCTGCTATCTCTTCATTCTTCTTTTGTTTTAAACTCAACATTAGAAATAGCAAGATGTCAGGGTTTATTCCCTCTAAGTAAGTTGATATATGAGACATCAGCCAGGTAAATCCTAGCCACTCTTACTTGGAGGTTAACCAGACCAGGTACAGCAGGACCTATTTCTGAGTAAACATGTACCTACAGAACTGAGCTTTAAAATTTTTCCTTTATTTAATATTAAATATTGCTATATTGCCCCTCACAGTCAGTTGAATCAATTTGTAGCTAGTGTTGTTCCTCTTATGATACAGGCTTTCTGCACATAGGAATACTGGAGATCTCATACATTTAGCATTATCAGAAACAAATAGCCAGAGAAATCTGCTAGCCATGATGCAGTGCCGGAGCAGGGTACAGAATAGCTATTCAAATGTCACAGTTGCTTTACATGTATTCAAGTCTTACACATCTGCAAAACAGAAATAGTAACAGCCATTTGAATGCTCCTTCTTAATAGGTCTGTGCGGAGGCCGAGGAAATTCTGAAGGGCCTGGTTCTTGTGACGTAGAGCTGGAGCTGCAGCTGCTGCTTCTGCTGCTACTCCCAGCCACCGGTACCCTAACTCTGTCCTCGACTAAAGGGGACCCAGGGCTCAGGTATCCTGCGGTGGTCTGGGTAGTGACAGTAGAAAAGGTAGTTGGACCAGCATTGTTTTTCACATAGACATTTTTTATAGCAACTAACGTATGTGTCATGACACTGAGGCTGTTGTTGAGATCTTGCATTCCTTGGTGTAGCAACCGAAGATTATGATTGATGCTATCAAACCCAGACTGAATGATATGCAGTTGATTCCGTTGGATCTGTAAGAGATCTTCTTCTGTAATTTCATTAGAGTCTGTCTGGGGTTGAGTTTTCGTTTTGGCTTTTACTTTTCCACAAGGTCCTCCATTCGATATCCCCAAAAAAGGGAGATGTTCCTGGCTAGGAGGAACAACTGCCATATCTTCTGAGCTTTCTTCTGGTTCCACTACTTTCACCACTATTTCTTCTTTTAGATTTATTTTCTCCACACACGATTGTTGGGATGGACCAGGATCATCTGTAAATCCTAAAAGTAAAAGCATAAAATGTTAATCTCTTTATTAATGGAATTCTTGACTATTAAGCCTGGATGTGACCAACAGATAAAAAGTGACTACAATCATTCTGAAATGTTGTAGTTTTCACTGGATATCTTTACTTACAACTGTAGTTCTAGTTTCAACTGGCAACATATTAATGAAAAGATCAACTGTAAATTGAATAGTGGCACAGAGAACGCTGTTTTTAAAACAACACAATTTAACTGACAAGAGTACAGGGAAAAAGCAAAAGTAAATATACTATATTATACAAAATACCTACTTGTGTTATTTACTGTACTTCCAAGAAATGAGAAAATGTTATGAGAAGAGCACTTCAAAGTGTTTATATATTAAAATGCATAAAAACCTTGTTTATGGTTTTTTGTTTATGCATACAAGATGAAAAATTTCTACATTATTGAAAAGGTTTTTTATATCTTAAAATGCAAATATTTATTTTATTTTATTTTTAAAAGCTAATTAAATTTTAAAACTAATATGATGGTTTTAACATTGTGCACTAAAAACTAGGCTCAAAATTTCCTCCCTTTAAAATAATATTGTACGAAACTATGCAATTTTCCTACCTACAGAGTATTATGCCAAAGCTGTAAAGTGGTACAGAATTAAAGTCAGGCTAGAAACCAGGGAACTGTGAGTTCAAGTTCTGCCTTAGGTACAAAGCCAGCTGAGTAACACTCACTCTTAACCCCGGGCAGCAATGATAATCCATTTTTGAAATCCTGCCAAGAAAATTGCAAGGAATTGTTCCAGGTGGTTGCCAGAACTCAAACACTGACTGGAGGGCATTGTTTTTTTTTTAAAAAAATCAATGATTATGCAAAAATATGCTGCATTAAGACAGAATGTGGATTTTGATGTAGTGTGCTTCTATAAACCACCTACTCTAGTTGTGCCAAAAGTGACACCATATTATGTATGAATGTGTCTATTAGGTGTTGCGGGAAAGTGTTTTTAAACACAGCATTGTTGCAGAACAGCACAGAATATGATGCATGCAACCAAATGTTATTCTCTGTGGAATAATACGAAGTACACTATATCTCATTCAACATATCTCACTGATTGCTCCATTGATTAAATCTTGCAGGGTTAATAGCTCATAAGCAGTACATTGAAAAGTAGAGCAAAGATGCACTGCCACCCCCATTTCTAATTTAAAATATGAAGCCCCATATATGGGGAAACATAGTCTGGAATGCATCCTTAGATATTCCAGGATCAATGCACGTAGCCCTCAACTTACAACCATTTGTTTAGTGACTGTTCAAAGTTACAAAGTTACATTGAAAAAAGTGACTTATGACTGTTTTTCACACTTACCATGTTGCAGCATCCTTCATGGTCATGTGATCAAAATTTGGATGCTTGGCAACTGGCATGTATTTATGATAGTTGCAATGTCCCAGGGTTATGTTATCACATCTTGTGAACTTCTGACAAGCAAACTCAATGCGGAAGCCAGATTCATTACTAACTTAACTGCAGTGATTTACTTAATAACTGTAGCAAGGACGGCTGTAAATTGGGGCAAAACTCATTTAACAACTGTCTTGCTTAGCAATGGAAATTTTGTACTCAATTGTGGCTTTAAGTTGAGGACTACCTGTACAATTGATGTTCAGTGTAAGAAAAGATTTCAGACCGCAGATTTAAAAAAAAAAATAGAAGTGGAGCCCAGTGCAGAAGAAACATTCTTACAAACTAAAGAAACTCCACTTAAAAGTTTGATTTAGCTGAATGATACTCATTATCCTTTTATAAAAAATATCTATTCTGAATTAATTTCAACTCTTATACATTTCACTGATACAATTTTCTTGGGGTAGGAGGGACATGTAGAGTCTTGGTACTAGTCATAAATAATGGGGAGTCAAAAATCCCTTAAGTTTATCCACTGCAAATCATCTAAAATCATACCAAGAGACGCTGAACTCTGTTCCAACCTAGCAATATTTCCTGAAAGGAAAGGAAAGGATATTGGCAACTGTCTTTGAAACTTTTCATTCTAAGCCTATGCAAGCAGGAATCTTCCAGTTTCTAATATTCTAACAATTGGCTCTGCAACTTATTCTGTACCTGTCCATTCAAAATTTTAGCAGAGTTTGAATTCCACAATCTATCTAAAGCAGTGGTTCCCAACCTTTTTTTCGCCCCGCACTCCTAAAGAAATTTCACTCAAACCTCGCACCCCCTGAAATTTAGACTTTAGGAACTACTGAACGCATTAAATATATGGTAGGATTGAATCTTTTCAGCTATGTGACGGCCACTAAATAACGATACTTAACTCTAAAATGAAAACAAAGTTAAACCATTGCATAATAAATAAAAATGCCAACGTATAGCCAATATCCTATTATTTACCTGGACTTTTCTCCCCCCCCCCCCCCGGAATATCGTCTCGCACCCCCAGGGGGTGCGAGCACCCCAGGTTGGGAACCCCTGATCTAAAGTTTCAATGTGTACTAAGAATATATTTCTGCTACAGTAAGTGAGAAATGTAAGCTACCCCACCTTTACTTTCTATTACTTTCTAGTTCATTTTAGAGAACTCAGCAGTAAAAACCAACCAACCAATAGATCATTCCAGGCTGTTTCATCTTCAGGTATTGCATGGAAAGTCGAACTACCTTGGAAAGAGCTCCCATCAATCAAAGTGAATTGGCAGGAGGCACTTTTTGCAATTCGGATACTCCTAATGTTCCTATCTATTTAAGGAATATTTATAGCATCAGCCTGGGAGCAATTCTTCAACCCAAAGGACCCCATTTCCAAGATGTTCTTGACCCACACGCAACTTTAGCCGCATACATTCAACGCAACGCCAACTGCTGCAGCGATGGGAGTTAGTTCTTATCCAAACGGCATCCAGCAGCTTTTCTTCCGGGCGTATCAAGAAGAGAAACTGCGGGCTGCACCAATACTTAAAAGGGATGGCCAAGAGCGCTTCACGGTTCTCCTCCACGGCGGGGGAAAAAAAAAGCCCCGAATTAACGGGGGACGATTGTTGCCCGCGAAGGCGGTGGGGGAGAAAGGCAACCCCGCCGGACAAGGGAAGAGGCTGCGGTCCGGCGCCTTTGCAACTCACCCAGATCCGACACGGAGGAGGCTCTGGGCAGGTCCAGGGTGTCGATGCCCCCGACGATGGGCACAGGCTCGTTGGGGGCAGCTAGCCCCGAGGTATAGGATCGGAGGTGGTCGGGAGGCGAGGCGTCCTCGTTGCCCATCAGGAGGCCGAACGAGGCCGGGTGGGGGGCAACCCCGCCGGCGCCGTGGGTGACGCGGCAGAGTTTGCTCCGATCGCGGCGCTTCAGGTCCCGCCAGCGCTTTTTGAGGTCCTCCACCTCGCGAGGGCAAGCGGCCACCGGGTTCACTTTGTGCCGGATGAGCTCCCAGACTTTGCGCTTCTGACCCGGGGAGGCCCGGCCAGGCCCGGCCGCGAACAGCACCTGCTCGTGTTTCAACACTTGCTCGATCAGCACCTCCGTCTCCGCCTCGTTGAAATTGGCCTTGCGCCGCTTGGGCGAGTCTTCCGCCATCCTAAACCGCCAGCTGGAGGGTGGGGGTGGGAGAGGGGGCTGCTGCTGCTGCTGCTGCTCCCAGAATCCGCAATGGGGAAGAGGCCGCCCGCTTTTTTATCGCGCCGCCGCCGCACCACCGGCTCTAGGCCAAACCCCGGGCCTCGCTCGGAAAGCAAATACCGCGCATGAGAGGAAAAGACGCGCAAATCCCCGGCGCAGGCGCCCCGCTTGTTGACATGGGAAGGGAGGGGGGGTGGGTGAGGCAACCCTGCTGCCGCGGACCTCCTTTGAGCCCGCCCCGCCGTGATCTCCAACCAATCCACAACTTCCAAAGCTTCGGCGCCTCCCAATGGGGATGTTTGCCGGGAAATGGCTTCGACTCCTCCACTCGTCCGTGCATTTCATTGCCCGCCCCTTTGCCCGGAGCCGAAGGGTTCTGGCCACGCCCCATCGTGCCTTTCAGCTTCAGGAGCCCGCGCGCTCTTTTATTTTTTGCCCCCCCCTCCCCCGAGAGTTACGATCCCGCCTTTCCGGAGAGGGGGAGGGGGCGGCGCCCTCTCAACCCAGCGCGTCCAGCGTCCCATCCGTCTCTCCCCCCCCCCTCCCGCGCGCGCTCCTCACGTGCTGAGCAGTAACCCGGAGTTAGAAGGGAAAGCAGTCCCCGCCCCTTCTCCCTCCCTCCCTCCCTCCCTCTCCTTCTGCCTCGCTGCTGCTCAGGGCGGCTTCGGGGGGGCTGCAGCGAGGCGCGTTTTGCGCGCCTACCCCGAAAGGCTGCAGAAGCGGCGCCTCTAGTTTCTAGGCGGTGGGGGATGGCGGCTGCTTTGGAGCTGCTCTTGCGGGACGAGGTGGCAGCCGGCGCGGTGGTGCGGTGGCTGAAGTCGAGCCAGAGCTGCGCCGAAGAGGTAAAACGCGCAACCCGTTTTGGCGACAGGGACGCTTCTTGAAGTTAGCCCTCCGTGGGGCGGGAAGTTGGCTGGGGGGGGGGGGGGGGGGGGGGTTTTTTCCCCCTTCAAAAACCCCGAAAAGGAGGGGGGGGAAAAAGCAGGAATGGTCGCCTCGCGTTGCCTGTTAGGTGCTCCTCCTGCGCGGCCCTGGAGGTTACGGAGCAGGGCGCCTCTGGGGCCTCCATGATTGTGTGCGAATCCGGTCTTTATCTTGGGGGACCGCATAATCCTGACCCCGAGATCCCGTGCACGCCTTCCCGCAATTTCCCTGACCTGTACATGCTTGCAGGTCAGGCTTGGCCGAGGGTCGGTGCTTTTGCAACCCATTCCTTGGGGGAGGGTACATTTCCCCCTTGAAATAAGGCTGGGAAAAGTCAGAGGAAACTTATTACCAAGCAGATGCGCCCAGACTTCCAGATGTCATGAAAACCATATTTCATATGCGTCTACTGTCTTTTGCGCATGTGGGAATGAGTTCTTCACCAAAAAAAAAAAAAAAAAAGTTTTGCCTGTTGCATGGCAAATCAAAACAGTCCAGGGATTACCTGAAAGGGAGAAAGCAGTGGCATTGTCTTCTGTGCTGAGTCAAGTAACATTGTATCCAAAGCCAATCAAGTTACTTTGGCACCTGCAGCAGACAAAAAATAACAACTGTTGTATGTGAACTAGCAGAAGCAGTCACATCAGTCTAGTTTATCAGGAGCCAGTCTTAAATATAATCAAGGAATTACTGATCAAAGATCAGTTTTAATACGCTATCTAAGTCATCAGGAGATGGCCTAGGGCCCACAAGCACAATTCTCCTTAGGTATGAAAATTTATTAAGTGAAGAACTGTAGAATCCCTGAACTAAGCATAAAGAAGTCTTCTTTGTACCAGTTCACTCTTTAGGCTAGAGCATTAATGTTGGACATGCGTACTTGGTCTCTACACACACACATGCAATGTATGTGTCTTGCTTGGTCAATTTAAAGCAACATTACAGCCTAACTGCAAAAGTGTTTCCTATAACCAGTGAATAAATCAGTGTTCAGCAACTCCCAGTAATTGGAAAGCAAATTATACTGCCTTTATAAGCAGCTGTTTGAACTAATATTTTATTGTCCTTTTATTACACTGGTTATTGTGTGGGATATTTGAAAAAGGCTCTCTTGTGATTACAGTAATTAAATAGTGCATTGCTGATTAAAGCATTCTTGGTGTCATTCAAAAGATTGCCTATATGTTCAGTGCCTTTGTATTTTGGGTAGTGCATGGGAACTAATAAGATTTTTAATGCCATTTGTTGGTCTAGAGATGCTTAAGAAGTGCCAGTTAATTTTTTAATTTTAATTATTAAAGCTCCTATTGTTAAAACTAACAATAAAACAACTTAAAGGAAGTAGAAATAAAAGGAACTAAGGGCAAACCCAGATACACAAAATAAAGTCTGTAGGGACTGGACATCTTTTCTCTATGCTCAAAAGACTCTGCTCCAAATTAAAAAAATGTTTAAGAAACAAATAGGAAACTTGCATGTTGCAAAGCAAAACTAAAATCCTCTAGAACAATATTTATTTGCAGCAATGGATGCCAGAGGCTCTAACTTCCCTTCTAATAAAAAATGAAATAGCAAAGGACCAGCCTGTGCTGCCTCTAGCTGTCAAAATGGGGTGCAGGAATGGGCCCCCCCGCACCACGCTTTGGCCTGCAGGGTGCTTCAAGAGGCCATCTAGGCAGAAAATGAGATGTGGGAGGCATGGATGCCCCCCATGTTCTGTTTTGGCTGGTAGGGTGCTGCAGGAGGCCATCTAGGCCGAAAATGGGGCATGGAGGGGTCTCACATGCCCCGCACACTGTTTTGGTCAGGGTGCTACAGGAGGCATCTGTCCCTTCTTTCCCCCCATCCCCCGGCCCATGGAGAACTACAATGCTGATCCAGCCCTCGAAGAAATCCAGTTTGACATCTGGGAGTAGATAATTAAAAAAAAACAACTGCTTAGTAAATTCTGATACAAAAATAGGGGAAGAAGGAATGTGGGTTGAAAAGCCATCATAATTTGCTATTATGTTTAATAATGCACAAACTGATTTGAATATAATTCAATATATAAAATATAATTGTCGTTAGTTGAAATGCAAAACAGATTGTTCCTAGAAGACTTGATTTAGTAGTCTGAGAACTTTTTTAGACTGCTCTTAATTTGTTTTAATGCTGTTCAAAGGCAAAAGCTCATGGTCCATAGTGCAAAACATTTCTACACTACTATATATTATTATATAATCATGTCATTTCCAAGGGAAATTATGGTCCTGCAATTTCTAGCTTCCTAGGCTTTTGAGACAGCATGACACTTAATTTTTCCTGATGTACAAAGACTTATGAAACCAGGGTAAATGTAAATATAATCCAGGGTTCATAAATGTTTGGTTTCCTTGATATATGTATGGATAAATTTTAGTTTTCAGCAACTGAATAGTAATGCTTTGAAGTTGAAGTCCCTCTTCTGAGCATGCATCATAAAAATAGTACTAAATGTAATACATTTTCTAAATAAATAGAAGTAATTTAGAGTACTTTCTGAAAAAAAAATGTTGCTTTTAGAAAACAACTTTCCTTCTGGGATCATTTAATTAGACTCCTGGGGAGAAAGCCTGCAAATAAGGAGTATTAGCATTGCACAAGATGTTACTCAGTAATTCCTACACTGTCATTTACTTAGACTGCAGTTTGCCTTGCAGGATCAAGGTATTTATTATTTATTTATTTATTTATTTATTGGTAGTTATGAGTTCTGCTAGAAAATTGATTCAGAGGGGTTTTATCCAGTTTTTCCCCCTTAGGGGGAGAGTATTTCTGAATAATTATGCTCTGAGCATCCATGTCAATAAAAAGGAATAAGGGTAAATATCATTGATTTTTTTCCTCTTTCACTCCCAGAACTAGGACTTCTCTTCTGTTAAGACTAGCCATCTTTCTACAATATATTAAAGAAATACACAGGAAAGTACATTTTGAGAGAAATTGACTAACATTAAAACCACCTCCATTGCACCAGTTTCTTCATGATTTAGAATTGCGGTCCCCAACCTTTCCAGCTTTGTGGACCCATGCTGGTGGTTGTGGGATGGGAGGGCATGGTTTTGCACATGAGCCACTTGCACAAATGCAGCTTTGCATACGCCCCTGCTCGCCCGCCCCTTGCGTGGCCCATTTCCCAACATGCAACAGGTAGTATCAGACCTCAGACCTGGGGCTGGGGACCCCTGATTTAGAAGTGTTCTGTGAATATAAGGAGCCATTCTGTCTAAACAGGTAGATTCTGGATTAAACCTATTGGTCACAAAGTATTAAGTTGGAATTCTTCATAATTGTAATCAGCAAGTATATAACTGTCTTTCTGCTCCTGCTTAGCCCCTCCTGCAGATGGAAGTGGCTAAAATTACCAGTGATTTACCATGAGAGGAAATGGCCTTAGCATTTTGCCCAAATCATTGTTCCTATGTCCTCTGTAACAAGAGAACTTCTGTAGCTAAGATTTATGTACATGGGGTGAATTGAAAGAGCCAAGAAACTAGCGTCCAGGTCAAAAACCTAATGCTTAGTTTTGATTCTGGTTAGTTTAATGAAAGTGTAATAAAATTTAAACATTTTCATATATAAAGCTTAAATTATCCAGAAAAGAAGACAGATGTATTTGCAAAGGAAATAAGTATTCTGATTATACAAGATTTAATAATACTGGTAGAAACAGCCAAAACAAGCTTTTACTGAATCTTTCCTATGGCATTTTTACGTATTAGAATGTATCTTGGACAGTTAGTAATATTCATCTGCAATCTTCTGTTGAAAAGTCTGATATAAATTGTGATACTTATTGTTTTGTTGACTTCCATACATTTCTATTTCTTTAGAGTAGAAAATAATATTGCTATAGTAATGAAGGGAAAAAAATAAAATCTTGATTCTCACATTCATTAAAAAGAGAAAAATCGTTGGTGGAAATCACTGTGATAAGCAAATATTTTATATAAATATCTGAGCATATACAGGATGGTGCCTTTCCAAGTTGTCAGCTGAATGCCAAAACTAAAAAAAAAAGTATATTGATAGAACAATATGCAATCACATGTTGTTGCCATCTGTTAATTTGGCAAACAATTGATATGAGAAGTTATTATTTAATAAATTATGATAAGACTCCGATTTCTGATTTTAGATTACCTGAGGGATTTGATTTTGAAATGGTTTCATTTTGCTTTATATGCTTATAACAGAAATTCATAACTCAGCTCGTTCT